AATTAAATATTCCTAGGATTAGGATTTCTTTGTTTTAAACGCCTGATGTCAGCCCGTAGCACCACCCCATGGACGACCTGCTGGTCATCCGTTGTTGCCCTTTGTTCTTCTGCTTCATTGAATTTATAGGCGATTAAACTCTGTTGCACTGCTATGATGTCCCTGCTATTACATAACTATTACCATCCATCTTACACTCCACTAATTAAAGTTGCGTTCACAGCAAGACGCGCCACTCAAAATAGCGTTGGGCAAAACAGTGTGGTGCGCCTGAGGAGCCAGGCTTCGTGCTTCTTTCTGCCTTGAGCTGAAAAGTTGATAATATTTTAACTAGCGGCACACTGCTAGCGAATCTGTGTGATTGGCCCATAAGGGTTATGGCTATGGCTTGGCTATGGAAACGAGATCAGGGTCTACCAAACCCAATCAAACCGGACCGCTTGGTGGAAACTGGGCTTTTTTTTTAACCATTTTATTGATGCCCCAGCTTTTGTATTTTTGCAACAGTAGGCAAAAGTGAAAGAAACGACATATTGCTCTTTGCTCTCCCTCCCATGACGACTAAACGACGGCAGAGCCAACATAAACATTAATGCACAGTGTCTAAAAATGTTCCATCGCCCTGTTGTGAATTCTATCTCACTGTCTGTCTATAAACAACAGCATCAACCTCTCAGACTGTTTACAGTCGATCTGGTCGATATCTGTTTACAGCCCAAATTAGAATCTGAACTGGCATCTTTTTGAGTGCTGAGTGGATGAGAGGCTAATCTGTCCACACGACAGCACAGCCAGAAAATACTGCAGGTTATGCTGCAGCTGGAACAATTTTATAACATAACCAGGTCAATAACGTGATGATTTACCATCAAATCAGGTGTACAAACTTTTAATACCTATTTTTTTCATCTAAAACGTTGGCAGCGTCTTATACACCTGTGCGACCACGAGCCGTCATTAGTTCGGGTGCAGCCGCCACCATCACACACTTCATGCGATGATTGAAAATGAATCCTGATTCATCGTGTATTGAAAGCTGATTGCAGGCTGTGCTGGGATACAAAGTGACAGAGACCAGGCTGGCTGCACTACCTTTTAATATCTTCTCTCCCTCCCTCATACATTTAAAGCAAACAGTGGTATAGTGTTCCGTAAATAAACTTTTACAGTTATCTTTTGACTGAAAGACTCCTATATTAAAGTCAACAAGTGACCAGCGGAGTCTTGCAGCATGAGCGCGACTCACAAGCTGTCGGCCTTCCCAACTTTCCCTGCAGGCTGAGAGCTCAACTACCGTACTGTAGATAGTAAGAATGTAAACTCCACAAGGTGAAAACAGAAGGTACTAATAGAGCGACACAGCTGCACACAAACTGCATGTTTTAGACTTTTCTGAACACGATAGAAACCCCTCAAAACAGACTGTGTCTTATATACCGGTGCGACTTATACTCCAGATTTTACAATAAGTATAAAGGGATTTAGCTCGAGTTTGGCTAAGAATTAAATAATTCTAGTGGTTCACCTTTTGTATTTCTTCATGATACCAGTAGGAAAAGACCTTAAACCACAGGAGATAAATTCTGTCTTGTTATGGAGCAGATTGCTAAAGTGAGTCTTTGTACTCTCCTTTCAGATGTTTAAGAAAATAAATTCTTCAAGAATGTGGTCACCTTGACTCTGGAGCGCTAAGTTGGCATATAAAATAAATGACATGTTGGTTAATTCCAACTGTGTCCTCCTCTCACCGATGACAAACGCCTCTTTGAAGGTGGTCCCGGTGACGTTGTACCACGGTGGTCTGCCGGCTGTGTAGATGGTCCGTTTGTTGGTCCTCAGCAGAGGGGGCTCGGTCTTAGACCGGCTCGTGGTCCGTGTTTGTGGTGATAGAGACGGAGTCAAAGGGCACCGCGGGACACGGTTTGTGATCCCATCCAGGGAGTCGTCTCCGCTCCCACTGGAGGTGAAGAGACAACAGACGGTCAGATGGACTCTTCTCTACAGGTGTAGTAGCTCACTGGTATCATCACTCGTACGGCCTGTACCGTCTACCTATTGATGTGTGTTATAAACTCTATCATGTTGTTGCTTTTTATCTATAAATAATTTTCTGTGGTGGTTGCCATCAGCAATGCCTTTTGAGTTCATAGTTGGCCCCACGCTGCTGCTCCAATACAGGCATTTACGTGTTTTTGTCGTATCTGCAGGTTCATAAAGCTGACTGTAAGCCGGTGAAAGAAACACCTGATTCTGATCAAACAGAGCCGATTAAAGTCGTCAGGCTATAAATGATCAGAAACAAGACGTCTGACATTTTTTTAAAACTGTCCTATATTCAGTCTTTCATGGACCTGCAGATACTCCACTGTCCTGCAGAGAGATAAGAGGGAGTCTGTGCACTTTCTAAGCCTCTCTCTGAACTCATCTCTCTGCAGTGATGCTGTCGGTGTGGTCGAGGGGGAGAGAGGGAAAAACTTGCCAAACTCCCCAGGAAATCACACCGCTGCCCCTCGGAGGCAGCACAGCACAGGGAGGGGCCAACGCTCACATGAGTAAGGCTGTCATCATTTGGCTCAGATATTTAATGAGTTTCACGATTCAACTACCCAAGATTACAATTTTTTAAAATGTTATTTTACCAGGCAAGAATTGCTTGAGATATCAAATGACCTCTTTTTCGAGGCCAAAACAGCAGCAGTAAAATACGAAATATAAGACAAACCTAAAAAAGAAAGCACAGACATGAGAGAAAGAGACAAATACAGTCCAGAAGGTGAAGAAGGAGGAGGAGGAGGAGGAGGAGGAGGAGGAGGAGGAGGAGATCATGTTAAACAAAAAGAAAACACAACAGTGCACCACAATACACACTAAAAGAACAATTACAAGAACAAAGAACAATAGAAAGAATAGGAAAAACTACATTTGTACAAAGTTACATCACAACGATGCATCAGTGCAGATTTATTTAAATATGGAGCATGCACATTAATGAGCATAAACATGTAAATATGCCAGATTATAGCAATGGGTTTATTTCCACCTGTAGCCCCTTGTTAGGTTGGTGGAATGATATTATCTCACCCTATATCTCGTTTAAAAATACATCTATGTATGTTCAAAACTGGATGTATTAACCAGCCCTTCACTCTTCCTAATTCAGCTTAATCCTCATGAGAAATGTCATCCTCTAATTTCTTTTTTTTTATCCTTTTATTCTTGAAATAACAAAACAAACAGTGACACAAAGGACAAAACGGGGAGGACAATTTTACAGGCACACAGAGAGAAGAAAGAAATGAAAACAAAACAAAACAACAACAAACAAAACAAACTGGGGGAATAGAGTAAAGTAGAACTGGGACAAACAGAAAGAAACACTAGAGAAGTATAAAAATGAACAGATACAAAGTAGTCATGGTAACATGGTGATTAGTGAGAACAGAAGTGTTTTTGTAGTTGATTGATTAATTGGGTTGAGAGCTCTGTCTTACAGGTGGAGGTGTTTGTAAATGTAATGTAAACAAGAGGGGTCCAGGTTGCTTCAAGGTGATGAGTTTGGTCTTGGAGTGAGGCTGAGAGCTTTTCCACTGATATGTATTCTGACAGGATGTTTAACCGGAGTGACGCATCAAGTTTGTGTCTAGTTTTCTAATTTCAAAGAATTCAACCTGAATGAAAGAAGAGCTGACAGAGAGACACCTGACAGACAGACACCTGACAGACAGACACCTGACAGACAGACACCTGACAGACAGACACCTGACAGAGAGACACCTGACAGACAGACACCTGACAGAGAGACACCTGACAGACAGACACCTGACAGAGAGACACCTGACAGACAGACACCTGACAGACAGACACCTGACAGACAGACACCTGACAGAGAGACACCTGACAGACAGACACCTGACAGAGAGACACCTGACAGACAGACACCTGACAGAGAGACACCTGACAGACAGACACCTGACAGAGAGACACCTGACAGACAGACACCTGACAGACAGACACCTGACAGACAGACACCTGACAGAGAGACACCTGACAGACAGACACCTGACAGAGAGACACCTGACAGACAGACACCTGACAGACAGACACCTGACAGACAGACACCTGACAGAGAGACACCTGACAGAGAGACACCTGACAGACACCTGACAGAGAGACACCTGACAGAGAGACACCTGACAGAGAGACACCTGACAGACAGACACCTGACAGAGAGACACCTGACAGACACCTGACAGAGAGACACCTGACAGAGAGACACCTGACAGACAGACACCTGACAGAGAGACACCTGACAGAGAGACACCTGACAGACAGACACCTGACAGACAGACACCTGACAGACAGACACCTGACAGAGAGACACCTGACAGAGAGACACCTGACCGACAGACACCTGACAGACAGACACCTGACAGACAGACACCTGACAGACAGACACCCGACAGACAGACACCCGACAGAGAGACACCCGACAGACAGACACCTGACAGACAGACACCCGACAGACAGACACCCGACAGAGAGACACCTGACAGAGAGACACCTGACAGACAGACACCCGACAGACAGACACCCGACAGAGAGACACCCGACAGAGAGACACCCGACAGACAGACACCCGACAGAGAGACACCTGACAGAGAGACACCTGACAGACACCTGACAGACACCTGACAGACACCTGACAGACACCTGACAGACAGACACCTGACAGACAGACACCTGACAGACAGACACCCGACAGACAGACACCCGACAGACAGACACCTGACAGAGAGACACCTGACAGACAGACACCTGACAGAGAGACACCTGACAGACAGACACCCGACAGAGAGACACCCGACAGACAGACACCCGACAGACAGACACCCGACAGACAGACACCCGACAGACAGACACCCGACAGACAGACACCCGACAGACAGACACCCGACCGACAGACACCCGACAGACAGACACCCGACAGACAGACACCCGACAGACAGACACCCGACAGACAGACACCCGACAGAGAGACACCCGACAGACAGACACCCGACCGACAGACACCCGACAGACAGACACCTGACAGACAGACACCCGACCGACAGACACCCGACAGACAGACACCCGACAGACAGACACCCGACCGACAGACACCCGACAGACAGACACCCGACAGACAGACACCCGACAGACAGACACCCGACAGAGAGACACCCGACAGAGAGACACCCGACAGACAGACACCCGACAGAGAGACACCCGACAGAGAGACACCCGACAGACAGACACCCGACAGACAGACACCCGACAGACAGACACCCGACAGAGAGACACCCGACTGAGAGACACCCGACAGACAGACACCTGACAGAGAGACACCCGACAGACAGACACCTGACAGACAGACACCCGACAGACAGACACCTGACCGACAGACACCTGACAGACAGACACCTGACCGACAGACACCTGACAGACAGACACCTGACAGACAGACACCTGACCGACAGACACCTGACAGACAGACACCTGACAGACAGACACCTGACCGAGAGACACCTGACAGACAGACACCTGACAGACAGACACCTGACAGAGAGACACCTGACAGACAGACACCTGACAGACAGACACCTGACAGACAGACACCTGACAGACAGACACCTGACAGACAGACAGACACCTGACAGAGAGACACCCGACAGACAGACACCGACCGACAGACACCCGACAGACAGACACCCGACAGAGAGACACCGACAGACAGACACCGACAGAGAGACACCGACAGACAGACACCGACAGACAGACAACCGACAGAGAGACACCCGACAGAGAGACACCCGACAGACAGACACCCGACAGACAGACACCCGACAGAGAGACACCCGACAGACAGACACCTGACAGACAGACACCTGACAGAGAGACACCTGACAGACAGACACCTGACAGAGAGACACCTGACAGACAGACACCTGACAGACAGACACCTGACAGACAGACACCTGACAGAGAGACACCTGACAGAGAGACACCTGACAGACAGACACCTGACAGAGAGACACCTGACAGAGAGACACCTGACAGACAGACACCTGACAGAGAGACACCTGACAGACAGACACCTGACAGAGAGACACCTGACAGACAGACACCTGACAGAGAGACACCTGACAGAGAGACACCTGACAGACAGACACCTGACAGAGAGACACCTGACAGACAGACACCTGACAGAGAGACACCTGACAGACACCTGACAGACAGACACCTGACAGAGAGACACCTGACAGACAGACACCTGACAGAGAGACACCTGACAGAGAGACACCTGACAGACAGACACCTGACAGACAGACACCTGACAGAGAGACACCTGACAGACAGACACCTGACAGACAGACACCCGACAGACAGACACCTGACAGAGAGACACCTGACAGACAGACACCTGACAGAGAGACACCTGACAGACAGACACCTGACAGAGAGACACCTGACAGACAGACACCTGACAGAGAGACACCTGACAGACAGACACCTGACAGACAGACACCTGACAGAGAGACACCTGACAGACAGACACCTGACAGACAGACACCTGACAGACAGACACCTGACAGAGAGACACCTGACAGAGAGACACCTGACAGACAGACACCTGACAGACAGACACCTGACAGAGAGACACCTGACAGAGAGACACCTGACAGAGAGACACCTGACAGAGAGACACCTGACAGACAGACACCTGACAGACAGACACCTGACAGAGAGACACCTGACAGACAGACACCTGACAGACAGACACCTGACCCCCCCTCCTGCACATCCTTAGTGCTACGTGTTATGAATGAGCAAGTGTTATCCACAGAGTAGCATTAGGTGGCGCTTTGACCACACACACACACACACACACACACACACACACACACACACACACACACACACACACACACACACACACACACACACACACACACACACACACACACACACACACACACACACACACACACACACACACACACACACACACACACACACACACACACACACACAGGGTAATAACGTCCCTCCATCGCGTTGTCATGGCAGTAAAGGCTAACCAGCTAGCATCGTTAGCTCGCAAACATGTTTTTTATTCACCTACACTGTTCTGCCTCGCGCCACAGACCTTCATCCTTTGATGTGTTTACCTGTCAGACCTCGACATGGACCTGTCCCCGTCCCCGTCCCCGTCCGCCCCCTCGTCTGTCGGCTGCTGTTCCTCTGGTTTACTGTCGCTGCTGCTTGTTGTTGCTTCCATGTCTGCTCGTTAAGCTCGGCGCGGCGCGGAAACCAAACACATGGAGCGTCATGACGTCAGCCGGAGACGTAAAACGGTGCTGTGTTTATGGTAATCGGGAAAAATATTCTTTTGTCAATTATTTGTTTTTATTTTCGTTAAAGTGGGGAAAAATGTGTGTTAAAACTAATTATATCTAATTATATTTGTCAACTCCATCGTTGTTATTGTTGGCGCTTATAAGTTTATGTAGAAAATGTTTAATTTAATTTAGATAAGCTTACAAGATGCCATTAAATTACAGAAATGCTTTGTGGCTGCAACATAATGTGTTATTACTGTTTTTTTTAATGTCAAGTTTATTATGAACAGCGCAAGACAAACAAACAGCAAAAACAAATACACACTGTTCACACAGACTGCTGATTAAATTACTTTTTTTGTTGATAATTAACGTTATACTTTTGTATATGAAGAGCACAGTTATTTATCTGTGGTTGTATCATAGACTGCAAATATTAATTTGTACGTGTAAGCATACCTGCCTAATAAAGCTGAATTTTAATTCTAATTAAAGTTTGTCCCACCGGTACTTGAACGCACCGTCAGCCTTGAAGCCTGCATAACTAACTCTTGATATTTTGGAGGCCCATGATATTAAATATTGAATTAAAAATGATGACAACAATAAAATGAAAAGTAGTTGTTTTTGTTCATTTACAGCATTTATTCAAAGTTCCTAATGATTCTAACTAGATTTACAAAATCTGTAACATGACAGAATTTTATCTGCAGCAGCCTATATCTTTATTTTTTTAAAGACATTTTTGAATTGATTGTATATCTTATCAAGGAATCTCGCTTCATGTTTTCTTTGTGTTACCTTTAAAATCTGACACATCGTCAGCCATGATCTCTTCTTTCACCTTACACATATGAGAATAAATAAACACACAGCAATAGTTTAAATTCAAATCAGAATAAATTTTTGGACACAATTTAAAAGATATTTAAACACTCAGGAGACGTATATATTTTTCTTATTGGACTTGAATTTGTTAAAAGCGTTAATGATGACGTGACACATTTCTTATGAATCTGCTTTTACAACAGCATTTATTTAGCTCAAATAAATTAATGTAAAAATGTTTGATACAGTCTAACATACATTATTTAAAAAAAAATCATGCACTTATAATTATTTCTTGCATTTGAACAAAATACTAGAATCTGTTATTTATGTGATTAACAAGGGTATAATGGTTATTTGACTAAATTGATTTTCGTTCTTGTCCCATTAAGAATCACCAACCAGAGCTGCTGTCTGTGATCAGTCAGGCTTCAGTATGTGTCCTGTCCACTCACAGCTGCTGCAGCCTTCATATCACTGCTGCTGCTGCTGCTGCTGCTGCTGCTGCATGTTCAACACTACAATTAAAAACCTCCCTCCAAAAAGCCCGCATGTGGTTTCCTCCCTCCTGCTCCCCTCAGCACCGCAATGAAGGAATTTCTCCATTTGTTCTGAAGTCTCTCCGCTCGCGCTTCATCATGAGGTCTCGGCTCACTTTTCCCCAACACGACTGAAGCTAAACGGAACCGGACCCAGACCCAGACCCGGACCCGGACCCGGACCCGGACCTGTCGATTCTCACCGGCAACTCCTGCAGCAGCATCCTCCAAAAAGAAAAAGAAAAGTCACCTTTACATTTTGTTTTTGTTTTATTTGATTGAACTCAGACGGGACAGCGGCTGACAGCAGGCAGAATAAATGGATAATAACGCTGCAAATTCGGAGAAATCTCACCTGATGCACGAGAACAGTGCCAAAACGTATTCTTTAAAGCTGCAAAGGTGGGGACATGTCTTATTTCATGTGTCTGCAGCTGCATGCAGACTATAATGCTGCAATACCAAGTTACCTGTGCACGATCAATGTTGCATGCACTTGTGAAAAAAAAGAAAAAAAATGACATATCAATTTAATGATTTAAGATATAACGACACAGGCCGATAAGAAAGCAAGAAAAATGTTTTTATTGACTTTTTCTGGATGAAACAGCACTTTGGAAGTAGAAAAGTGTTTTTTTACAGTCAGCACTTGATGATTTCTGCAGGACACCTCCCGTGTCGTGTCGGTGTGTGTATGGTGTGAAGCTGTGTGTGTAACGTGGGGGCTCCACGGTGGGAGCAGTTGTTACCGTGGTGCATGTTAAGCAGGCTGCTGCGCTCTTGCAGGCTGTTTTATGTGAATGAACAAATTCATTTCCATGCTTGGCTTGTTTCTGGACAGCCTGTGACAAATGGCTCCCGGGCCAGTTCACTGAGCAATGCTAGAAACTCATCATCTGTCATTAGAGAGGCTGAGAGCAGCTCTCTCTGCACGGCCGGGCTGCGTGGACGGAAAACACCGGGATTTATAACACAGGAAGCCTAAATACACGGAGGTGTGAATACCTGCAGGTGGAGGTGATACACATAAACCCAGAGAGGTTCATTAGCTTGGATATGTTTGAGATGTTTGATTTTGCATAAAGGAATCATTTTATATTTCGGAAAAAAATGCTCTAAATTCATTGAAATAGCCTAAAAAAAAACTATCATGTTCCTTATTCCACAAAGATGCATAAATTATTTGCATTGTCTATTTATTTTATTTAGATTATTCCCAAACTAGAAACTGTTCAATTAGGCTATAGTGTGTGCAAATTTCGTAGCTAAATATATTTTAAAAAAAAAGTAAAGAAGAAGGAAACCTGGCTAAGTTAGGAAAAATACACATTTTTAATAAAATAAAATAAAAATAGGCTAAAAAAAACAAAGATTGAATAATTCAAGTTCTGTCATTTATTCGTCATGAAAAGACGCAAATCAGCATTTTTATCCTGAGTAAAAAAAAAGGAAAAACAAACATGAGCAACAGATGCTCCTCAGTTTTGTTTGTTTGTCTGACGAAATGAAAAAACGAAAATATGGTCATCATGAGGGGGAAATCAAATCTAGCCCATTTGTTCGATGTATTAAAGTTTCCAATTATTTTCTTTTTATTGTCTCTGGCTGAGATCGTGAGTATAGACCCTCATGATGTGTCTGATGAATCAATAACTCGGAAGTATATATGCAGCGGATCTAAAGGTAGAATTGATCCCGTAGAGAAACTCTGTCACGCCTTAAAAAAATCAGCTGTTTCTCACCTTCGTGGAGCCAAATCCACGCGTTGAAAAGATCTGAAGTGACAGGATTTGAATGCTCTCTAAAAGCACTGAAGCGAGAAGCTGCACCGGCTGTAAAACATGAAAACATGACGCGTTCTTCAGAAGGGCCACTGCTGAATGTGGAGGCCTCTGAGGAGCACAACTCATGCAGGTCAAAATCAACCACCAAAAAATGAATAGGACATATTTTTAGAGTTTTTGTGCAGGTGCTGCTGCTGCGTTTGTGTGTGTGTGTGTGTGTGTGTGTGTGTGTGTGTGTGTGTGTGTTTGTGTGTGTGTGTGTGTGTGTGTGTGTGTGTGTGTGTGTGTGTGTGTGTGTGTGTGTGTGCGTGCGTGCATTAGGAAGAGAGAGAGAGAGATGTGCATATGGCACTACATTTGAGATTTCATGCACCATTTGCAGTGCTCATGTGTATTTGTGTGTGTGTGTGTGTGTGTGTGGTGTGTGTGTGGTGTGTGTGTGGTGTGTGTGTGTGTGTGTGTGTGTGTGTTAGTCTAAATGTGTGTCAACCTCAGCATTTTCTCCCAGCTGGCAGTAAAGTGGTGTGTAAGGAAGCGACATCTCTCATTGTTCTGGTTTAGAAAAATAAAAAAAATCTTATTTGTACATTTCAGAATCTACAGAACCGATACTTAAAAAAATAATATTATTAGCACCACTATAATGTACGGTGGCTGGGAAGTGCACAGCAAAATTATTACTACTAATACTAAAACCTTTTGACATTTTGTTAAACAAACTTACAAGATTAGCAGAAACACTTTGATAAGCACTGAGACACATTTGAAAGTGGCAGAACACTTTTACCAGTCCCCAAACAAATGGACAAACTGCAGATTCTTGACGGAAAGGGAATGTACTGAATGCAGGAAGTGACCCGGAAGTGATTGAGTGAGGGGTCATTTCTCTCAGTGTTTTAAAAGTGTTTCACATTTCACATCTTGTAAATTTGTTTAATAAAATGTAAATGTGTTCTGTCCTTGGTAAAAGTGTTTTGGTTTTGTAATTTTGTTTTTCAAAATGTAAATTTGCAAATTTTGTAAAAGTGTTTCACACAATTTTTGCTTTGCACTTCCCAGCCACCGTACTGACTGGTGGTTAAAGCTTCACAGCGAGTATTTGAAGGGTTTATTCATGCTTAAATAAGTAATAGACCTAAATAACAACACAGTTTAAGTGAGCGACTTGCAGGAGGTTGGTCAAAGTTGCATCGATTCTGATTAAAAAAATGTAAAAAAAAACTTTTACAAAAAAAAATCTTTTTTTAAAATGATGCTAATAAAAAGTGATGACGAAACAGAGTTAGAAAATGTTATTAAAAATGTTTTTCATCCAAAGGGTTTCTGAACAAACCCCCCTTTAAAAACTGAGCTTACTCAT